ACAGCAGCATGGTCACAAGAGAGCCAGCAGCTCTCATGTCCTTTCTGCCCCTGCACCACTCAGTAACCCATGCAGACAGACTGTTTGGTGCTGCCAGGCCTTCCCCCACTCCCCTAGTTGTCCAAGGGGAAATAACATACTTTCTTACAGTGCCCTTAAATGTAAAGGTTATACATTCTTTATTCACTTTTGTCTTAACCCTATATTTACAAGTTTTCCATAAAAAGAGCTTGCTTGAATTTGAGTAACATTCTTTGTCTCTCTGTCTCTCTCACCCTCCCCTTCTCCCTAGCAGACAAGTGGAAATTTCCACTGAAGCACTCAGTGGCTCACACAGTGGGTGGGGGGGGGAGGGGGAGGGGGAAGGGGAAGGGAGAAGGGAGGGCTTTGCAGCCCTGAAGCATCCTTGAGCCTTTCTGAAGATAGGAAACAGATCTGTCTGAATGCCAGTTCCTAGACCGGCTCAGTTAAACCTTGTTGGGTTCAGGCTTCACTGAGGCAGTGAATTATTCACCTTCAAACTGAGGTACCTTGTGCATGGAAAAGCCCCATTTCTTTTTATATCTGTTGGGTCTCATACATTCTCAAAACCACTAACATTAAACCTGCTGCAGAATCCTTACATATCTTGGGGCAGTGCCACTAAAAAGAAACCTCCAAGGCCATAGCAGCCCTGTCTGAAAACCTGGTGTGGAGTACCTACACACAAGAACAGGGTCAGGATGCTGGCAGGAAGGCACGAGAACATGGAAATGTTAGCTAACGGGAAAACTACAGAGGGGAATCAATCTCCTCTAGAGAGGGTGCCAGCGCTCCTGGAGTAAGCTGCAGACACATTTGGGAAGCAAGTCAGTAAAATTCCAATGATTCACCATGGAGCTGGTTATTTTTATCATTCTGCTTACCCGTAAATAGAAGGGCATCTTATATGTAGGCCAGCAGATCTCTGCTATAAGCACCTATCCAAATTTTAAAGCAGATGAGAATAGGCAAAGAAGGGGCAAAACGGGCAAGAAAAATACCTTCTACTTGAGAGTTCTTATGTGCAGGCATTTGGAAGCCAGCCCAATCTCACTGCCATAAAATCAGACCTGGTAAAAAGGGCAGAGGCAACCTTTTACAAAGCAGCACAAGCCCAACACTGAAATACGGACCACACTTTATCATGTATAGTTTCCTCTCAGTCTCAGTTCAGCCCCATCTAGTGGAAAGAAAACCGTACACTCCGTGCAGCCCTGGAGTGAGTGACGTGGTTCTGGCAAAGGGTGACTGTTACTATGATTCAGTAAGATGCCTGCCCCTTTTTAGCACGGGTCTAAATGAGCCTCTCCAACCACTGCTCCCTCGAGCGTAAATGACATCTTCCCCTTTCAGATGCCCAGGCATACGGTAAGAATTTTCCACACCAACACTCTGTCTGTCCCACAGAGTAGGTTAGGCTCTCAGGGTGAGCATGTGAAGGCACAAAAGGGAGGTAATCTCAGGGGCCTGAAAGAGACCCCAGCAAATCCAGAGCTGGGAGTGACTCCCAGGCCTCTGAGCAGCACAGCTCCAGATCGTGTGCCAATGATTTATTTAGTATTAATATGCTAGATGGCTGAGATATTGTCCCAATCCCTGATAAGGGTGACCCAATCCAGGCCCCACTCTGCTGCCAGGGGGAACACTGAATCCCATTTTCAAAAACAAGTTAAAAATGGTCCTCAGTGGAACACAAATGACTGACTGACTCCCCCAGTTCTAAGGACCTTCAGAGATTATGAATTAAGAAAATTTCTGTGGACTAGTCTGGGAACTTAACCATCAAGTTGTTCCATTGGGAAAATAAGTTCTCAGTTATAAACAACAGACTTACAGACAAATTTCTGGAACATAACCTGTTTCTCAAGTGGAGTCTGACCAAACTAATATTTGAAATATAATGACTATATTTTTCTTTTTGGCATAAGCTAGAAATAGTCTTGATATAATAATAAACATCAGGTACCATTTCCAAAGTATACCCTCCTCCTCCTCTGGGCAGATTTCCCAGATAACCCTAAAGTAACAGGCTCTCTCTTACCTACTCTTTTCTTCCAGCCTACTGGGCATGTATGTGATAATGAGGTTGATTCTGGGGGCAGGGGGATTGATTTGGGGGATGGGCATGGGACAAGAGTAGAGGCAACTGCCCAGTATGTAGTGAAGTCATTAGAAGAGAGATGCCTACCTGTCAGCCCCAGGCCTAGATTACTCCCTGCTGTGCTGGGCACTTTCACACACACTCCCTTAGCTGCTGCCTAGTTTAGCACTATGTGGCCAACTCTCCGATTAGACTGAAAACTCCTTGAGACCAGGAACCACGACAATCGTCAGAATCAACCTGAGACCTGTAGACGCCACCAGGACATACCATTTCTCCCCACAAAACATAAAAGCAACAAACACACGACACCAACAGTACCATGAGAAAATGTGAATTCTCAGAAACGTCTACGCTCACTCCATTAGCCAGCCAAAAGCTGGCTCTCGCACACCACTGACAGGATTCAAATCAGCGCCTCACCATAATTTCAGTAAGTGTTATGGCCTCCGGGACTGTTCAAAAAGACCCAAAACTTTGACTGCTAAACATGTAACCAGTAAGACCACTGTTTCTTCTCAACCACTTGAGAAAAGCGAGCCTCCCAGCACATAATCCTTACTACATGCTTCTAACACTTTCTGTGGCCATTACTAATGCACATGAAGAATTATGAACAAAATGCCTGGTACTGATGTGGTTAGGGTTAGTGATCACGGGGGCACTGTCTGAAGCCAAGAGACTATCAGACTAACCTTAAGCTCCACACTGCAGACACGTAAACATACCACCCGATTCCAAATCTTCACCCAGGTAGCTCCAAACCACACTCTCAGATCCTCATTTCCCAAAAGTCACTGTGGAGAATAGAGTGTTCTAGAAATAAAACACATAATCAAATACAGTTCATCAATGAAGGGATCTTACTGAAGGGCTTCTCATCCTTTATGGGCCAATGTGCACTGTGAATCTCTAGAAGGAATTAGATCATGTGAGGCTTCCCGCATCTCACTGAAAACACCCACCCTACTTTTCTTTTTTTGATGGAACATCTCTATAGAATTAGTATTTCAGAGACCACACTTCAAAATACATTACCTTAAACAAATAAAAACCGAACAATGACTTATCCCAGAAAACAGGCTTAAAGCATGACCCTCCTCCACTGCAGCTGGCACCACCTTTCTTTGTCTATATATAATAAACATATGAATACAGAATGCTGCTTCTCCTTTACTGAGGAGTCTGAAAGTAACAGAACAGAAATAAAATCTTTAAATGTCAATGAACTAAGTGACTGCAATGTATTCCTCAGTGAGGTACATGTACCTTTGTCGGGGGAACCCAGAAGCAGGGCTAGTATTCTCAGCAGTTCTGGCTTGGTCCCAGACGGGCTGTTCCAGGACCTGAATTTATTCCACCCATAAAGACAAAAACAGCCCCCCACCCCCAACCTCCAGCACCGCACACAGAGGTCTGAAAATGAACTGACTTAACACAGCGGTTCTGGAGCGTGGTCCTCAGACAACAACATCAGCATTACGCAGGCTATGTGTTAGTGCAGATCCTAGGATGCTGGCCACGCCAACCTTAAACCAAGTAAAATCCTCTACTTGGAAAAAGGGCAGAATCGCCTGGAAGTACTATGTGAGTGAAGAAACTGACTTCTCTTTCCATTCACTGCCTTTCATCCAAGAACTGTGCTAATAATTCTTAGACAGATTTCATATGTTCCTCTTTAAATAAAAAGGCAAAAGGATTCCTAACTGTGCTGCTGAAACCACACTCACTGGTGATTAAGTTTAAAAGAAACAGACAGACAGACACGTGCAGGGTCTCCATCACTCATTGTTATGATTGTGGAAGAAGCCTAGCCACGGTGCATTTCCTGTTGCCTAGCAACACCTCAGGCACTCTCTTCAGAGGTGTTCTCAAGAAGCTGAACACCAGCACAAAACAAGGTGAAGCAATCAAAAGATGAAATTTGCAGCGCAGCAGAAGGTTTAAATGCAGTAAGAAAGCCTCGATGTGAGACGCGACTCCACTCAGGCCCTATCGCACGTAGCGTACCTGCACAAGATGGCTAAATCCACGTGACTAGAAGCGGCACTCTCACCACAGAGCACATCTGCAGAGACTGTCTTGCTGGGTCCTTTTGGCAATGCAGATGGGAGACCCATTACCTGAGTTCAGCGCCCAAAGAGGCCGGAAGCAGAGAAGGGACGTCCTCGAGGTCACAGAGTTCCTGAATGCCAGAGGGAGACAACTCTTCTACTCTCTCCCCACTGTGCTAAAACCTGATTCCCATCTTCTCTAACACCCACTCCTAGGAAACCCCACAACATAGGAAGACTCAAACCTACTCTACAAATTGTTCTCAAAGACCTTCTACACAGATAGTTATTACTACAGAATCAAATCTGTGGCGTGTAGTTGAGGAAGTTGCTGTACACAGCAGGAGACAAAATTCCCAACTGTGATCACTACTTGGAGTAGGTATCACCATTTTTCTCCTGTGGATTAGGCTCGGGTTACATACACGTTAGTCAAAAGCAGCACATTCCGTTATGTGCAACCCATATGTTTCAAACAGATACACTATACATGTAGGCAGCACTCTTCACTAAGGTATTTTAAAGGCAAAAGTTAAACAAATGCCAGGGAAAACAGTACTAAGGTTGACAAGAAAAGTTTCCTACAAGCTAGACTTTACAAGTCCACTGCTCCTAGGAGGGCCTATTTTTGAACTCAGATCACAGTCTATAGTCCATACCATATCCCACGTGCAACACAATACTGCCAGCGTGTGTACCCAAAAGACACCCAGGCGCAATGGGGGTCTGACTGTGAAACTGTAAGAACTTCTAATGTTAACTCAACAGGGCTCTTCACTGAGCCTATCAAAAATGTTTTCCAAGCACTTCATGAAGAAACTTACCCGCCACTGTTGTACTGCTGATTGTGGGCGGAGATCCTGTAAGGAAGTGCTCGCTCACCCAGGTTTTCCAAGTTCCTCACTATTGCTCCTCTGTCCATCAGGGCCTCTATCGTACGCTTCAAAGCAGCAGCAGTCTCTGGCTGTTTTTGTTTGTATTTTTAAAGAGAAGAAAAAAAAGCATCAGTATCAATATAAGAACTAGAATGATTAAGTCTGGTCAGTTCCAATCATAACACTCTACTGGTAGGGATCTTTGGGTAAAAGCAATAGAAGCTGGGTTTTGTTAACTTAAAATAGAAGAGAGAGAGAATTTATTGTAAGGATATGAGCTAGCTCACAGATACGAGGGAATATCTGAAGAACCAGGCTTCGTAGAGTTCAGGGACCAGGGCAGCTCCAGGGATCTGGGAGGCAGGAACTAATGAGTGGCTTCTTCAGAGCACCTCAGCCAGGCTGAATCAGTGCCAATCACTGTCAGTTCTCGTATGCCATGACTCAAAATTCAAATTCCAGGGGAAGCGCATCCCGTTGTCAGGACACCCGAACTGCCCATCCCACCCAAACTGTAACGAGGGGGAAAAGGTACTGTCCCCCAAAGAAAAATTGGGAGATTGTAACCAAAAGGGGGAAAGGATGAGTAAGACTCAATCTCTGCCCTCATGGAGCTTACAATCTAATAAAGGACAGAAGAACACAAAATCCACATGTCTGGAGAGCAGAGGGCAGAACACAGGAAGTGGCATAGAGACCAGAGGGCTCACGGAAGGTAGAGACGTTCGGCTCGGAGAAGGGTTTCACTAAAGAAAGTTTACTTGAAAGGAGCCTGGAAAACGATGAGCAGCGATACAAAGAATGAATGAACCATCAGCTGAGTAAAGGAGCAAGGGCAAGAAAGCATGAGTGCACTGAGGAAACAGCAAGGAGCCCCAAGTGATGAGGTTCAGGGCCAAGGGAAAGCTAAGACAGACTGGATACAGACTGGCCACAAATCTGTAAGTAATTAAGTCCTGTTATAAAAAACAAAGCTTGCACAATACAGAATCCCATCATCCAGAGATAGACTGGATGGTGAATTGAACTTTTTGGTGAATTTCTTTCCCAGATAGCTCTGCATGCATATGTGTACATGAGCAATTTTTAGAAGAAAAGATACTTTATAAGGATAAGCTTGAAAACTGCAACGAATACAATGTGGAGAATGAGGGCAAAATGTGGCCAAGAAGGGCACTACAATCTGGTGGCTGCGAGAGTGGAACTGTCATCACAGCTAAGAGGAAAGCTGGAGAAGCTGGTGAGGACAGTCAGAGATGAATCCGGTTTAGGACACGTGCAGTCTGAGACGCCATGGCTCTCCTAGGCTGACCTCTCCAGATGTAAAATCTTTAAGCTCAAAACAGGTGGATCAGAAATACGCGTTTCATAGTCACCTGTACAGCCAGCTACCTGAAGCCTGAGAAGGAGGTGAGATCATTAGAAAGGGTGGCGGGGGAGAGGAAAGGAGAGCCCCAGCAGAACCCTGGGGAGAACAAACGTTTAGGGGCTAAGGGGAGGACTCAAAGTCAGAGAAGCAAATCGAAAATGTACAGTCAAACAGGACAAGGAAAATCAGGAGACTGTCTTGTCCAGAATGACGATGGGGTAGAGGAGAGAGATAAAGAAAAAGCCGCAGTGTGGTAGCTGCATGGGCATTTAGCAAGATGGGGCCAGAAGGCAGACTGCAAATGTTCCAAAGGAACCTTCATCATCCTAGTTCCTCCTGCACTTTAAAATCTCCCTGCTTGCTCTGAAACCTAAGATAGAGGCCCCGATAGACAGAGTAGCAATAGTGAGGGACTTGCTGAGCAATAGCTTCCTTACAGGGTATCTCCACTCACAGGGTGAAGGAAAAAACGCCAGGGCTCCGGGGACAAGCAATTCGAGCAACGGTGGTGCTTCTGTAGAAAACACACGAGCAAGCTGGTAGGCAAAAGGGAGTGGACCAGGTAAGAGGACCAAATGCAGGCGTTCTAAAGTAACGACGACGACGACAGATATGATTTACTGGGTAACTGCTACATGGCCGAAACTGGCCTAGTGTCTGGTTATGTATTTTGCCTTCACCAAAAAAGCAGCCAAGAAGGTTTACAGATTTGGGACTGGGCCTCTGAGAGATCCCGACAGGGCAGCTAGTAAGTGGAAGTGCCTGCTGCAAGGAAAAGGAAAGCTGTGGGAATGCTGGGGGAGGAGGCCAGAGCCACACCGTGGCAAAGACAAGGAGCACTTCTCAAAGACCTACGTGAAGCGGCGCCAGCAGGGAGACTTTAAAGTGCAAGAGGGAACTTAAGGCTACCTCCCAGTGTTTCATCTGGGGGTCAAACTGAAGAGAAAACTGCAGAACAAATATGCTTTCTGGTAACCCAACAAAATCCGCTATATTTTATTATATTTGAACTTTCTTTCTTACAAGTACTGCTAAAATGGTATGAAATGTGTTAAGTATTGGCCTAAGGCTTCGAAAAAACATTCTTTACTTTCTTTTCATATTGAAGCCCATCAGGGATTTAAAAAATTCCTACTGAATCGTTGTTTATATATTTAACCAACCTTAAGATAAAATAGAAATTTCCTGAAAACAGTAAAAATTGGGGCCAAAATCTAGTCCCATTAACACTAGGTAAAAAGCCCATGGCAATTGATCCTTATGACTGCATCAAACACATTCCTAGACAGTTCTAAACACATGAAGACTACATTCTTCCCACATTTCGTTATAGTTCACAAAGACATCGCCATACATCTGCAGAGGACTCATTATTAACAGCAGCGCAGTATTTCATTTCACTGAAAATACTGTTTCTTGACCTGGCATTACATCAATTAACTTACGATAAGGTAAAGGAATAGTCTATCCAAATAAAGAGTGGGGTTCTCAGCTTTGTTACCTACACTTAAAAAAAAAGGGAAAAATCCTTTGATTGATTAGTTTTTTGATTAGCTACCCAAATAAATTTTAATTCCAGTTTTGCCTAATAAAAAAGAATTTATCTCAGTATCTTCTGTTTAAGTTCCAACTGAAGTGTTTACAGTATAAAACTCATTACCCTCTTCTGAAGTAAGAGCTCATCAAGTAAAAAACATTTTCTTCTCACATCTGTCTCAAAAAGGGGAAAGGCTACCTAACAAGAATGTAACTTAGGAAAATACAAAAATACATTTTATTTGACTTTGGTATGTCAAGGTCAAACTGTAAACTCCTGGAATGGCCACATTCATCTCACTTTAATTTCAAAACACCCAGAAGTTTTAAAAAGAAAGGTAGAAGGAGGAGCAAAAATAACACCCCATATACTTTACCTCACAAGAAAGCAGGATTGGCAAACCAGGGCTTGTGGGCCAAATCCGGCTTGCTACCTATATTTGCAAATAAAGTTACACTGGAACACAGCCAACTCATACATTTGCACAATGTCTATGGCTGCTTCTGTGCTAAAGGTAGATCTGTAATTACAACAGAGACCATGTGGCCCCAGAGCCTAAACTATTTACTATCTGGCCAGCCCCTGGGCGAAGGGAAGCTGGCAGGGCCTTAATCCAGTCGCCCTAAAATGCACCACTAATAAAACCATGAGCCTGGGCCACTGAAGTGTAGAGGGTGTATTCCTCACGGGATGTGCCATCAGGTAGACACACAGGGTACCAACAGGCTGTACCAGTTGAACAGCCTGGCCGTTCAACTCATTGCAGGGCTCAGAAATGATTCCACAAACCCACTATTCCATCCACCAAGCTCCTAATGTCTTTATCAACCTGGGCTGCCAACTTCGATGTTCCTCAATTGATGAAACCTATGTCTCTATTAAAATAAAATTCTTATACTTAGGGGAGAAAAAGTTCTGCTCAATCCAGTACAAATGTTAACCTCAGAAAAGCATGTAGTTTACAGGAAGCAAATGATCTTGCTGCCGTAATTCTCATTTATAAGATCTCTGAACCATTTAATTCCAACTATTCTAAGAGAAGTTGTGCAGGTTTCTGATGGGCTTCTCTTACCCCACCTGAAAGCAACTCCCCAAGACTTTCCTTCAACCTACCAAATGCATCAGTGAAACACACTTTGGGCAAGGCATGGACTGAAGGTTTGAAAATATTCATTTGAAAAAAAAAATACAGAAAAGAAGAATGGGAATGGGAACTAAGAAAACGAGGATTCTAGTCCTAGCTCATTCACTAATGAGTTATGCAAACCTGCACACATTACTAAAACTTGTCAATTTTAAACTTGTACCTCAGTTTCCTTATCTGCTAAATTGGTGGTTCTCAATTTTCCTGTTGCTACAAGCTTCATGTGAATAAACAACATTCGTATTGCAATTCTCAACATCTGCTGGAGGCATATAAAGTTTGATGGAAGCCTTTCTTTTTATGACCCCCATTCTGATATCTTCAACCCCCAAAATATACCCCCATCCCCCAGTTGTCCTGATGTTTACTTCTAACAGCACTGCAGCAATCTATATTCTTTCACTAACTAGAATGTAAGTGACAGAAAGGCAGGGACCTTTGTCTATCTTTTACATAACTGTATTCCCAAAGTCTAAAATGATCCACATGTCATGGGACACGTGCTACAAACAGCTGTGCCAACTGTACCTCCTTAAAAGGGTCTCTTGCTTGCTTACTCCTATATTTTCTCAAGGAATTCTAAATTTCCTTCTCTCTCTAATATAAGTTAAAGTCACATTTCATATACAACAAAGCTCACTGCCAGGGTGGTGACTGTAACACAGAAGCAAAATTACAATACTATTGTTTCCCGCTTTACGCATAAGAGCAAAATGCTGTTCATACCAATATTGTATTTCAAAAAGATCTACAATTTATCTAGAAGTGAAATTAAATATTTTATACATTTCAAGTATCAAATTCCAATACACATATAAATATAAATGTTAAAATTACATTCATATAATTATTTGCTGATAAGGTAACATAAAGTACTATCCAAAAATTTAACTAAATAGTATAATACTTAAAAAAAGAAAAACCATTAATCCTGGAAAAAATGAAAGCTAATTTTTGATATTATTAATTACTAAAACTAATGTTTAGCCTACAAAAGAAGACTCGGGGAAAACTCAACAGTTAATTTCAAATATTTGCA